TCTTCAGTCCAGGGACTCTCGAGGTAGCCTAGCTGGCGTTCGCAGGCCGAAGTCCCTTTCCATGTTTTTCGTTTGTTCATCTTGTATCACACAAACATGATGTATTTCTTTTCAGACATTGTTTGTAGTATTCTGTAGTAGTCCGTGAGCTAGTGACACCAGACCTTGGGTAGTGATGTGTATTAAACTTCCGCACTTTTGGTTTTCAGTTGCTTTAGATTTAAAGTCTTCCGCTTAAATTTTGTCTCGTTTATTATATTGTTTGAAAGAAAGCAGGAAAGGTGTTTTAAATATTTGGCTTGCCTAGCTCCGATAGTAGGCACCATCACGACACCCGATGGTGGGAAATCCGGGTCGTGACATCCCCGCTGCTCCAACAACACTGGTTTGGTTCATCAATTCTTCTTACTTAAACCTAATATTACTTATATATTCACTAGTATTGAAATAAATCACATATTTTTAAAACCGCAAATTATCTTTAATTGTTACTCACATTTTTTGAGGTAAACACACCAATAATATGAAGAATAAACTTGCAATATTATATATAAAAAGTAAGGTACGAGGTAGTATTATTATATAAAAAGTCGGGTAAATAATAAAATAGGAATATTTAATAATAAAAAAGGACAATATAAGAGAGAGAGAAAATAAGATAACAACGCCATGGGCGAAGTCACACTTTGATTAGGGTGGTCAAAGTCAATTGACCACCCTTTATCGCAAAATTACATTGCGTATATAAGTAAAATATTAGGTTTTAAAGGTATATAACATATATTGAACACCCATTGTCGGAATATTTTTTACTTATTTTAAGTTTGAACACTCTTGAGAAAATTTCTGGCTTCACCACTGAACAACGTGATCTCATCAAATTGGTTGTTCCATAAATTAATATTTTTCATGGTTACATAACAACAAATTTAATAATACGATACAATAAAATTTAAGTGACAATCAAAACAAATATTATATTTATACTCCCTCCGTTCCAGTTTATGTGAACCTCTTTCCTTTTTGGTCCGTTCCAAAAGAATGACCCTTTTCTAAATTTGGAAACAATTTAGCTTAAATTTACAATTCTACCCTTAATGAGAAGCTTTTATAACCACACAAATACTTTGGGCCCCTTTTGACTTGTTTAGGACCACAAATTCCAAAAATCTTTTATTTTTTTTTAAATTTCGTGCCCAATCAAACAGGTTCACATAAATTGGAACGGAGAGAGTAGTAACAATACAATACACTAGAACAACTAACAACGATGGAAACAAGTTGTTAGGTAAGAAATGATTTTAAAAGTGGTTAGTACGCTACATGTACGTTAGTAGGGACTGGGGGTTTTGTCCTCTTCTTGTCAGAGAGTTGAAGTTTCCGTGCCTAAACAACACGAGCAATGAGTGAAGCCATGAGATAAAGAGAGACACACTGCGGTTTGGACGGTTGCGCTACGGACAAATGCAGGCTAAATCACGTGACTATAATCTAGCCAGATGCCAGAAGCTCAGATTAGCATCTCACTAACTCAAAGTTAAAAAGATAAAATGATGACTACATCTTAGATCAACAAGAAATGATTGGGTACAAATCAAACTATAAAACAAGGTAGTAAGTAGTGACTAGTTAACATATCAAATTTTTCCCAATGTAAATGGATCTTAGTCATAAATAACATTGGAGATATGCAGTTATTAGTCCTCACGAATACAACTTAAGGCCCGTTTCGCCATAAAAATTTCACTTTCTTGGAAAAAATTTCACTTTTTTCGAATTCAGTATTTGCCACGAAAATTTCAAATATCATTTCAAGTTAAATTTCAAAAAAAAAAAATGGAAATTTGAGAAACTCTACACTATTTTTCAAAATTCACTTTAAATCCCCCAAAATATTCAAAAATAGCTCCAAATTACATTAATATCCAAACACATTTCTAATTTTTAAATATTATTTTCACTTGAAAAAATATTCACTTTTTTTTCGAAATTTCATAATTCATATGTTCAAATGCCCACTTAGATGGTTAGAAACTTTTGCAAGATATTTACTAACTTTTTCTTTTTTTTGAGTATTGGAAATTAATATTGCATTAATGAGAACTTAAAGTGTACACTGGCATTAGGACAGCTGCAACTTTGAAGTGAAGTAACAGAAAGCGCAGTTATGGTGGGGCAACAGTCCAAAATTATGCATGTCTCTGGCTCTTGGAGCGTTTTCTAATAATAATACTACCAAGTAATAATTCAAACAGCATATTTGTTTTTCTGCATAAACAAGGACTCTGCAAAATCTACTCTGCAAATGTTAACTAGTACTGTGTATATAATATTTAAAAAGTTTTCAATTCTTTTACTGCTAAGTAGTAGTTCTTATAAATCCCTTACTGGTTCTCAATAATACTAGCACTCATCTATCAGACTCTGACTATCTTAACTATTACCCTCTGATTAAAGGTCCAAAGAGAAAAAATAGAATATGATATCTGAAGGAAATGCAGATAGAAAATGGAGGTATTTTCTTTGATCTTACCAACACCTTCTTCTTTTAATGTGTTTGTCTAAATATTCTTACTGTTTCTGTTTTCGGACACATTTTATGACATGAGTGCTTTTCTTTTTTTCCTTTTTTAGCGAGAAGAAAATGGAAAAAGAAGATGGTTTGAGGACAGTGGAATGTCTAAGAGGAAGATTGCTTGCAGAGAGGGCAGCTTCAAGAAAAGCAAAAGAGGATGCTGAGCTTTTTGGAAACAAGGTTTATTTTTCTTTTCCATCTCAGCTTGTTTTTGAGTGAAGATGCTATCAACATTTGTGCTCTAGTTCTGGTGTTTTCGTATTATCAGATTAAGTAGCGAAAACAGAATTTTCGTTAAGAGCTCCAAAAAAGAAAAAGTTAAAATATTATAAAAGATTGTGACCAATGAAAATTGAACTAGTGAACTCACCAAGGTTTTGAATCCCCTTAACCAGTGATCTATGCTTTTAGATTGTGTCAAGAGGATTTAAAATATAATACTATATAGAGGGACAAAACAGATTTTGATGCACAGTATAATTTTCAGCGAACTCCCTTCCTAACCCCCCCTAAATCCGCCCTGATTAGATTGGGTTAGTTATAAGGGAATTGTACTGTTTCCCATTTTAATAAAGTTCCTAAAAAAAAATTCCACTAGAAGTGTGACTCCTTAAATCTTTGAAATTTCAGCTGATTGTGCTGGAGAATAAGTTGAGAGAAGAGACTAGATCAAGAAACAAAGCTGAGAAGAAGCTCAATTTTTTTATAAAGAAGCTCGAGGCATTGAATATATCTTATGTTTCAGATGAATCAGAGCACTCTAGCTTATTGGATAAAAGTGAAATTTCATCTGTAACATCCACAACTGTTAGCAACACCAAACTCTCTGAAGATGAAGGACAAAAATCCCAATTTACAGGCTCTATTGTCAGTGAGTTTGTAGAGTCAATTGGTAGTAGAAAATGTAGCTCTGAAAATCTTGAGTATCATTCTCAAGAGCTCATATCCCAACAATGTGAGAAAAAGGAGCTAATTGAGAAGAGAATTTCTCAAGAAAACTCAATCAATTTGGAGCAAAATGCCACACAAATGACTATTTTTATCAAAGATGATCACAGTCATTCTAAGGTTGAACAAGATCTTGGAAAATCAAGTGAGCTTCAAATCTCAAATTCAGATGTGAATAGGTATGTAAATTCAACATTGAAAATCTTACACAAAAGAAAGTGCAATTTAAACATGTCCAGTTCTTGGAAGGGGTGCTTTGGAGCAACGGTAAAATTGTCTCAATCTGACCTATAGGTCACGAATTCGTGCCGTAGAAACAGTCACTAATGCTTGCACTAGGGTATGCTATCTATATCACACCCCTTGAGGTGCAGCACTTCTCCGAACCTGCATGAACGCGGGATGATTTGCGCACCAGACTGCCCCTTTAAATATGTTCAGTTCTTTATTACTCTACTATGTAATATCACCAAAGCTGGTCTAACTTTTAATCTATTATTGTTGTAGCTTAAAATTTTCACTCAAAGAGCAAGGGAAAAATGGAGAAGATGAAACACGTCAGCAAGAGGAGAATGTTGATTATTCTTTGGCATTAGTTCCTGTGGATTTGCCAAAGGATACCATTGATCCAGTTGTTCTTGATACTACTGTGAGAGAAGTTCTTGATGCATTAAGGCATGCTAAAGAGAAACTTCAGACTCAGATGGAGAGAAGAAGTATGATTAAAGTTGGCTAATTTATATGACAGTTCATTTATGGCTTAATTAGTAGATGCCTAGTTGACATTAGAATTCTAATTATGCCCCATTTTACCACATTGGAGTAACATTCTAGTTGTTAAGCATGTAAGTTAATCAAGATTTGAGGTGGTTGAGGTTTATTGTAGAGATGGATGTATAGAACTATAGATAATTAAGTATCAACCCTGATGATATTATATTATGTTCAAGCAAACTGAGGAGTTCACTGCTGCCATGTAATATTCTCGCAATAAAGAACATAATTTGGTGATGAACTTTCTATCCCAATTGAAAGGCCAAGGCTCTGTCCTACTGGTGAAAATATTAAAGTAATAATTGTTATATTTGGTTGGTAATTAAAAAATAATTTTTGAAAAAAATGTATTTATGTACTAAAGAAAAATAATACTAATATTAACAAATTGGATAGTGTTTTGATGAAAAATTTTAGTATTAAAAATTGATAATAATGCACCTAAATATTGGTTGGAGCAAGTGATATCAAATTAAAAGTTAAAGATAATAGTAAGTAAAATAACTTCCTCATGGAAAATATTTTCTTGGAAAATGACTTCTACCTTACCAACACACCAAACATTTTGTGTGGCTCTATAAAATTGGTGACCTAAAGCTAAATTTTAATAAGAGTCCTTAAATTTTTTCCTAATAAAGTTTCATATAGATTTTTATTTGAGGTTTATTCTTCTAAATTTTTGAGATGCTAAGTTATTTTATAGTGGATCTTTTCTAGTTATCTTTTCGATTGAAAATCATTATTGAAACATTGCTAATCTTAGCTAAGAATCTAACAATTTTAATTTTAAAAAGTTTCATTCAGCAAAGGCACCTATTACACGAACTAACAAAATTTTATAAACATATACACAATCTGAATTAGTATACCAATTAGAACATTATCTTCAAATTATAATTTCAAAAGTAAGTCTAAATCATCAACATCAGAGTAACTTTATGTAATAAGGTAATAAAGTTAAGAAAATGAAACTTTAGCCTTGTGATAGAAGGCTCTAGAGAGCCTATGACCACAACCATAATTAACTCAATTGTCAAAATTATAACAACCAAGAAACATAGATAGGAACTGAAATAGAGAGAAATGTGGAGGTTCACTATGTATTATTCAGACACAAGAAAGATTGTCTTCAAACAATCTGAGATCTCATCTGACACCAAATTACCAAAAAAAGATCATTTGGACAAAACTTCCAAAACTCAGTTTTGTTTTTGTTGCCCATAACCTCTTTTGATCTTTCTGATTTCAACAACAAACTCTGTCACCATCACATCTGTTATGGGTTTTTACAGCTAAGGCTGTAGTTGAAAATTGGCACATTGATAAAAGGACCACAGAGTTTGTACATAGGTTCATAGTATTCAAGAATCAAGACCAGAACACCTCCATATTCTCTGAACTCACATAAAATCTACATTACTTTCTTGTCTTGGGACACAACTATTGCTTCAATTCTGCCCATACAAATTTGTTTTTTTATTTCCTTTCTTTGGAGTTTTGCTACATATTCATGGTCTCTAGGCCTTTAGTACTTGCGAATATGGAACGTTAAGAACTGAGTTGGAGTCAGCTATATGAATCCTCTCGACAAATATATAAATTGAAGAATACTAGACCATTTGGATAAACACCATATTCATGTATAGTAATTGCATGAGAAAAAAATGGTTACGTTGTGCTGGAGACCTTCTGTAAAGGGTGATGGTAGCGGGCGAGGAGGAGATGCGAATGGGAGGTTTGATGGATTGATGTGGTATAAGGATCTTGGAGTTCATATAAATGGAGAATTTTCCATGGCAGTGATACAAGCCAATAATTTGATGGAGGATCGGAGTCAGCTCGAATCAGGGCCGTTAAGTTCTTTGAAATCAGGACCTCATGGAACATTTATAGGAGTTTACGATGGACATGGAGGACCAGAGACATCGCGGTTTATAAACAAAACTCTGTTCTCCAATCTCAAGAGTACGTAATGCTATTATTATTTGAATGCATGATATGCTTTATTATGTGAATTGGTTTATGAATGAAATGTGTGAATTGGTTGATTTGAATCAAAAAAAGATGCTAATTAGTTTATGTCTCCAATATGTAACTTCTTTAGATCGAAAACGGAAAAGTACTATACACACTTTTTATAGAAAAGTTCAGGCTCGGAATTATTAGAAGAACAAGTTCTTTCTTTGACCTTCCCACGAGCTTCTTCTAGTTGTTGGGAGTATAAAGAAGCCCGGTTTGGTATTTGGATTTTTTTTTTTGTATCAATAATCTAGCAAATTATCTTGAGCCGAGAGTCTATCAGAAACAGCCTCTCTGTTTTTCTTAAAGGTAGGGGTAAGATCTACATACACACTACCCTTTCCAGACCCCACTTTTGGGCAAACACTAGGCTTGTTGTTGTTGTAATAATCTAGCAAATTATCAATGTTTCATTTCTTGATTTTCTTAGATTTTCATTTTCCCTACTACTCTAGGGAGCGCTAATAGACTAGAAGTCCTTCCGGGCCTAGAGGCGGATCTAGGATTTAAAGGTGGCGGGTGTCAAAATTTCCTTTAATGTATACCTTATAATAACTACTAATATATAGTTTGTTCGGAACGTTTGTCTTTTTTAGGTAATTTGGGTAATTTAATAAGTACTTTATTTGCAAATATAAAAATATATCAATTTTCCAGACCCTACTTATGAAATTTCATTGGGTATATATGTTATTATTGTCGTATGAAAATTACATCTCAGAAATTAAGAAACAAATATAATTAACATTTTAAAGAAGGAATCACACTTTTATATAATACAAGTAAAATCAATATTTTCACTAGGAAACTACATTTTCTTGTATGCTAAAAATAAATTTGCACAAGTAAAATAAAATCTTTAATAAGAGAACTCCACCGATCAGAATAAGAAAAATAAAACTAAAAACATCTTCAATAGATAAATTATACCCCATAAGTAAATTCATAATTAGATAAACTGCAAGATGTCAAAACTTAAAATCATAAATCTAATGCTTGCGAAATATTCATCATAATTTATGACTAAAGAGATTTAAATTGTATTTAACAGTAATAGAATAACACAAATTTGTATGTTATAATAAAAACAATTATAGATTAATTTTGATCTCAATCTAAATATCAAGACCAAGTTTTTTGATTTTGAAAGAAGAAAACTAAAAGATTTGAGATTAAAAGAAATGCTTATATTATAAAAAATTTAAATTTTGGAGGCTCTTTTTAAGTGTTCTTGCTAAATATCATAGATAAAGTAATAGAATAGAGGAAAAAAATAAAAATAATAAACGACAAATAGGAAACTGAGAGGTAACCAAAAAGGAAAATGACTGGGAGAAAAAAAATAAAAAACACAACAAAAAGGGAAAGTTAGACAAGGTTCAAGATAAATTCGAACTTGGATTTTACACACGAGAAAAGCTTTCAAAAAAGTTTACCAGCCATGGCACATTTATCTAGTTTGCGTATGGGGGTGGCAGGATCATATATTTAACCTAGTTTAAATTTTTTTATACATAAATATATGATAATTTTACCCAGCAACACCACCCCACCCATAAGGGTGGATCCGCCCCTGCTTCCGGCCCTTTGTGACTGTGAATTGGATGAGTAAATGGATGAAATGAAGAAATAATTCAACTAGCTGTTTGAACCAAGAAATGGAAAAACGAAAGTTCTGTAAGTTAAATTGATTTTATCATGAAGTCTAAGAAGGTTATAATACACTGCCCCAGAGTCTAGAGCTTTGCTAATCATTACATATTATCCTCCAAACGTATTTGTGATTCAGACCTAAAATTCACTTTCTTACGGAAGTCTTAAGCTAATGTATATAATGTACAATAAACACTATTAGTTCTTCAATTTAACTGCATCTCATTCTGATTATCAGAATTTGCTTCCGAGCATCAAGAAATTTCTGCTGATGCCATAAGGAGAGCTTTCTTGACAACTGAAGAGGAATATCTGTCACTTGTAAAGCGACAGTGGAATGAGAAGCCACAGATTGCATCAGTAGGATCATGCTGTTTGGCGGGCATAATATGCAGTGGACTACTGTATATCGCGAATGTAGGAGATTCACGTGCAGTACTAGGTAGAGTAGATAAAGCTACAAAGAGTATAACAGCTATTCAACTGTCAACAGAACACAATGCTAGTATCGAGTCTGTGAGAGACGAGCTTCGCTCGTTGCATCCTCAGGATTCACGAATTGTGGTTCTCAAACACAAAGTTTGGCGTGTGAAAGGTCTCATACAGGTAATTGTTGTATGTTTTATATGCTTTCTTATGTTATGTGTCCTGTTAAGAAAATATATATGTGGTTCGAGCTTCAACGGCGTTTAATTAATGGTGATGTTCCTAATATATATAGATATTCTTTACAGGTTTCAAGGTCAATTGGTGATGCCTATCTTAAGAAGTCAGAGTTTAACCAAGCACCATTATTGGCAAGATTTAGGTTGCCAGAACCTTTCCCGAAACCAATCCTCAGCGCGGAGCCATCAATATCCGTTCACAGACTCAGTTCCAAGGATCAATTCGTCATATTTGCTTCAGATGGTCTATGGGATCATCTTAGCAACCAGGAGGCTGTTGATATTGTCCACAATCATCCTAGAAATGTAAGCTTTTCAATATCTAATAATGACATTTATGTTTAGCACTTTTGATTTATCTGGTGATTAGCCAAGAAGTTACAATTCAAACCACAGTGAACAAGTTCAATCTCGAAGGGAGCCTTGGCGTAACTAGTAAAGTTGCTGCTATGTGACCAAGAGGTCACAGGTTCAAGTCATAGAAACAAACTCTTGCAGAGATGCAGGGTAAAGCAGCGCGTATAATAGACCCTTGTGGTCTCACCCTTCCCGGAACCCCGCGCTACCGGAACCCCGCGCATAGCGGAAGCTTAGTGCACCGGGTTGCCCTTTAGTGCACAAGTTCAATCTCAATATTCCAATATATACTGAATGCACAGATTTTGAAACAGATTTTACCACATACTGAACATATACTCCTCTTTACTCTTAGCAGGGAATTGCTAGAAGACTTATTGAAGCTGCTCTACATGTAGCAGCCAAGAAAAGAGAAATGCGATATTCAGACCTGAAGAAGATTGACCGAGGCGTAAGAAGGCATTTCCATGATGA